GTTCGCGCCAAAGAGTACCTGGACACCGAACCCATGAGCGAATCTCAACCTAGAGATTTTCTTTAGAGTTATTAAACACCAACTACTCAATACGGAATCAATTAAATTCAAAAGAAATAACCTCTCTAGACTAGAAAGGGAAGCGATTGGCCAACTTAAAACAAACCCCAATATTATCATTAAAAAAGCCGATAAAGGCTCAGCTGTTGTAATCCTCAACAAATCCGACTATATCCTTGAAGCCGAAAGACAGCTTTCTAACATTTCCTTTTACCTGCCATTAGATGAGGACCCCACCCTCGAATTCAATGCTGAAATCACACTTTTCCTAACCAAAATGTACCAATCGGGACACATTACGGAAAAACTCCTTAAAGGCCTCATTGTAGACGACCCCAGACCAGGTCGCTTCTACCTCTTACCCAAGATACACAAATCTAGTGAACCCGGTAAAGTCCCAGGCAGACCCATTGTTAGCGGGAACAGAACCCCCACGGAATTCATCAGTAGTTTCATAGATGAACATATCAAACATTTCGTCCCTCTTTACCCTAGTTATATAAGAGACACCACCCACTTTATCCAACAATTGGAAGACATCGACCTCTCTCCACATTCAGATGTCATTCTTGTCACTATGGACGTCACTTCTCTTTACACCAACATCCCCACAAATGAAGGCCTACGAGCAGTCGCTAAAAGCATCCTCAAAAATAAACCTAAGTGGAGAATTGATCCCACCTATTTAATCGCACTCCTCAAACTTGTACTAACTAAAAACAACTTCGTTTTTAATAACAAAAATTACCTCCAGATAGGCGGTACTAGCATGGGGACGAAAGTAGCCCCTAGCTTTGCTTGCGTGTTCCTTAGCGAATTAGAACAAATTATGTTAGATAAAGTACCTCTAAAACCTCTAGTCTACGTCCGATACATATGAGATATCTTTCTTATCTGGACACATGGAAACTCTAAATTAATGGATTTCCTCCAATTGATGAACACCTTTCACAAAACTATCAAGTTCACAGCTGAATACTCCACTCTTAAAGTGCCTTTCCTAGACACTATGGTAAGCTTTAACGGTGAAACTAAGAAACTTTCCTTTGACCTATACTGTAAACCCACAGACACACACTCTTACCTATCCTACACCTCTTGTCATCCGCCACACATCAAACGTAAGGGACCGTACAGCCAATTTCTAAGAATCAAACGTATCTGCACATACAACTCTGATTATATCAAACATGCTGACAAACTTGAACATTACTATCTCCAACGGGGTTACCCTAGAGATATTATTAAAACCAATAGAAACAAAGCCGATTCAAACCAGAGGATAAACCTCCTCCGAAACAAAATCACCGCCGACACTCAGAAACGTCCAGTGTTCATTACGAATTTCAACCCCACTTCGGTACATATCAGCAAAATCATTAAGGACAACTGGCATATTCTCCATAGCTCACAGGACTGCCTCAAAGCATTCCCCTTACCTTGCCTCACCGCCTTTAGACGCAACCCCTCGCTAAAAGATCTATTAACTTCAGCAACTATCAAAAATCCCATACATAAACCTCAAGTCAGTGGGAAAAGCCTTGCTTATTTAGACTCTATATGTAACTCACCTAACTGTCTATATTGCCATACACTCCAACTTAAAACCACCTTCCGATCGACCCAAACCGGCAAAACGTACAAATGCCACAACCAGTGGACTTGCCATAGTAAGAATGTCATCTACCTTCTCACATGTAGGCTCTGCCATAAGCAGTACACAGGTGAAACGAAAAGATTGTTCCGCGTTAGGCTGAAAGAACACTTTGCTGACATTACCCACAAGAGAGACATCCCAGTCGCCTCTCACTTCAACTTACCGAGACATTCTAGTCGAGACCTTGACTACCAAATAATTAAACAACTGGGCTCAGACCCTGAGTTATACACTTCCACAACCAACAGACGCACAATTGAATTACATTGGATTATTAGATTAAAACTTTTCAACCACACGGTATCAACGACAAAATCTGAACTTGGGCACCCCCACTTATTTTTATTTGTTCTAATGGTTTGGATTGTTCGTACTTGGTTTTATTTTATTTATATCATAAAGGTGATAAGACTGAAATATCTACATTTAAGTTAAACCAACTGTATCCATTTACTGTTACTTTGACGTCGAGCTGAATGAATTATACGATTTATTGTCATTAAAACATCTACAGGGGCGTACATAACGATTTTTTTTTGTTTGTTTGTGTGTGAGGGGGTGTTTAGCCAAAATGCGACCGACTGATGCACATACCCCTAGTACGAGCTTTCTAGGGGCCACGTGCAGTAGCGAATCTAGACATTGGTAATAGGGGATGGGGGTGGTTCCAAATCTAGGGCACAATCCCAACCCACAATGAATGTCAACAAAATACTGGTAGAACATAGAGAGTATTGTATAATTATATATATAGTTGTTCGCCGATCGTTGTCTCGCCGGAAAGCAGTTTTATTTATGTTGACATAAAGTTTATGTCATATATGATAATTGTGCCTATAACACTGGGCAACCTCAGAAAATTTTGAAAAATTGAGTCAATATCCTGGCATTTGAGGTCATTGCTGGAAGAAATTCTTGTGGACGAGAGGATCAGAAATGGGAATCAATGGGACAGAATCTCGAATCTGCCTGTTTTGCAAAAGTTGACATAACATTTTTACAGTCCGACGCCCCACGATCAACACACCAGTGGTACTACTAATATAACTGGACAGTTCACTATAACCGTGAATATGATATTGCTGAGACAGTATATACAATCGTATTATAATGGAAATGAGCGCCGCCGGCGCGAAAAGAATCAGATATGTAACCGAACTTTTTTGGGACTGGGCCTGAAAATATTAGTCAATGTCATGAAAAATGGAACCAAATGATAAATGAAATGGAATGAAATGAAATGGGGTTTAACGTGCTACTGTTCTACTCCTAAACTGGGCTAATGAAGACGGGCATACGCCATACAGTGTGCTATGAGGGAATTTTGCCCGGGCAGTGGCGCTACAGCCTACTCTTATATCGAATTCCAATTGTCAAGGAATCTTTTACGTGCACGCCAATGTGTACACGGGACCTCGGTTTTTCGTCCCATCCGAATGAAACGGGCATACGCCATACAGTGTGCTATGAAGGGAATTTTGCCCGGGCAGCGGCGCTACAGCCTACTCTTATATCGAATTCCAATTGCCAAGGAATCTAGTGGCTATCATGTTATAGTAAAGACAAAAGTGTTACAGTGAGACCGACTGCGGTGAGCACTTTTTTGGACACCGACTATTTTTTTTTACCATGGGAAAAAACATTTCTTAGAACAACATACAACAGAATAAGAGTGCAAAACATTTTTTCAGACATGACAAGCAGACTTGTTTATTTTACACTATTGACGTATGCATAATTATGAGACCGACTGCAGTGACTGCACTTATTTTGAGATGATTATTTTTCTCCATGGGGGGAATTTTGTTCTTAGACCAACATACTCACAACAAAATAAGAGTGAAACACAACACTTTTTCAAACATGATAAGTTGACAAGGTTATTTTATACTAAAGTTTTGCATGAGTAGCGTGACGTATGCAGTGAGCACTTAATTTGATACCGACCGCTCTTATTTTTCGACCGACTGCACTGCTTTTGCGCACCCCCCCCCCCCACATTTACGCCACTGAACATCTATGTAACCAAAATCTTTAATTGGATCAGTATTATTGCCAACATTAATGCACCTAGAATTTTCTATTGCATCCAGATATTTAAAGCGCGTTAAAAAAATATATATTCATTAAAGAGAAACTATGTCATTTCGGGATTAACATGTCGTAAAATTCATATTCATTTGCTGGGGGTCCCTGAACTAGGCCTCGCGAGAGGTTCCCACTCTATTGGGGTTCCGGTGGGGTTATCTCCTTGCTTTTATAAAACTGACTGTAAAAAGTGTTTTTCTGTAATTTGTCCTGATGTTTCTAGCTTCCGCACAAATTTGGTGTGTGACAATCCTATCTGAAATTAAGTAACCGTAAAAACCTTATTTCACAAGCAATATTCGCAAGAACAGACATCGCTTTTTTGGTTTCTATTTTGATCGTCGTTTTAAATTTACACCATCTGGCATAATTACTTCTTATACATTTCACCGATGTGGTTACTTGTATAGTTGAATTTTACTACATATGCTTACATTCGTATTTCGTGTATCATATAGCAGATCATGACTCATGCTGGCATTGCACAATGGGTTCTTTGGGTTGTATTCCTACACAGAAAAAAAACTTGTGTTGAAACAACACAAACTTGAGAAACTTTTCAACACAAGTAAGGTGTCTCTATTTAACAACACAAACTTGTGTTGCAACAACACAAAACTTGTGTTAAAATTTATCAAACAACACAAACTTGTGTGAAAATCTACACAATACTTGTGTTGAAATTTTTGAAACTTGTTTTGAAATTTTTGAAACTTGTGTTGAAATTTCTGAAACTTGTGTTAAAATTTCTGAAACTTGTGTAAAATTTCTGAAACTTGTGTTGAAATTTCTGAAACTTGTGTGGTTTCATACAAACTTGTGTGGTTTCATACAAACTTGTGTATAACCATCCACAAAAACTTGTGTTGTGTTTTTCCCCAAATTATATACAGTATAGCAACCTTTTTATGCAGGACCCATCTCTTTACCCAGACCCAGCTCTGTTAGACCTGTAAAGTTTGATAAAAGAAGGAAACAAAATTTTTTTTTGTTTTTGTAAGATTATTATTTATTCATAAAATCATAGGAAAAGGTAAATTAATACATCAAAACTAAATAGATATTTGTTCATAAAATCATAGGAAAAAGTAAATTAATACATCAAAACTAAATAGATATTTGAAATGTTAACAGAAAAACAGAGAATTCTAATACTAAATATATTGTGTTATATATAATGCCCCCCCCCCACACACACACACACCCCCCACTTTACCCATCACAAAATATAACATAGCTGTTTAAATTGTTCTTAACCACACACACTTTACCTATCACAAAATATAAAATAGCTATATAAATTGTTCTTTACCCCAAAAAAAGAAATCAGGATATAAAGATATGTACACAGTATCCCTACCCCATACTCCAAAATATATAATTCAAATAATATCTAAATTTAATAACATCCAAACCAAGCACTAAGATTAATTATGCACTAAATTGAAACAATTTCAAAAACTGAAAAGTGCTACAAAATCACACTACAAGTGATTTGTGAGACATATAGAAATAACTAATATACACAGAAAACTAACAAAAGAAAAATGCACTATTTTGCAGGAGTAAAAAAATGATGTAAAACCTTTTCCTCATTAAAAAAAAACAAACAAAATGAATATTTTGTAAATAAAAGAAGCAAAGCATCAAGATTACAGGATTGAAATAAAAAAATATCATATGTACAAAAAACTTATATACAATCACAAGTCATAAGCCACAGTGGTTCAGTGAGTATAAGGTGTTGGCCGAGAAATTTCAACTGGATTTTCCGGCATAGTTCCCACTTGTCAGTAGTGTTGGATATGGCAAGGGAATTGGGTACAAGCCCGGAATCGAAAGAAAGAGAGAGAGAAATGGGGTTTAACGTCCACTTGACACAAACTAGGTCATTTCGGGATTAACATATGGTTTAATTTTATTTCAATAATTCGTTGCGCATAGGGGTCTTTAGCAGTGGGAGGAAACCGGAGGTCCCGGAGAAAACCCACAAGATTGGACAGGCAACCCTACTCCTTGTCACGTACAACCGGGGATTCGAAACCACGCCAGTTGACTCAATGACAGTCCGTATGATACCGCACGCATGTGCTTACCATTCGGCCATCCACCACCCCCTCCCCCATTCCCGGAATCGAAACCATCCCCACTGCGTTCACTTAGAAGAACCCTTGACAATTGAATTATTTGACTCAATGACAGACTTCCTGATCAAATGTGTGCGTGTTAATCATTGCCCCCCCCCCCGGGTTCCCGTTAAAGAACCCTTGACAGTTGCAATATTTTATATAAGAGTAGGGTGTAGGGCAGAATCACTCTAAGAACACAGAAAAGTAGGATACTAAACCGTATTTCATTTCATAAGCAAGGGAAAGTCACCTTTATGTAGGTCAAGGTTTTTTGTAATTCTGGGTGTATTTGATCTACATTTGGTTTCTAGTAATGCCTATTAAATACTTTATGATTTCTGACCAAATTCTAAGTGATTTATATGTCACTTTACTTGCTATATTATACATACATTTCTGAAGAGAATTAAAATCTAATTGTGTTTTGGAAGAAAAGTTAACATTAATAACAAAAAATAAATATTTAAAAATTGGGTCAAATGCATTCTTTCCCAGAAGTATAAAATAAATTGATGCTTGGGTTTTCTTGTTGTTATCATACAGCAAATACTCTTTCAATGGTGTTCCAGCCTAAAAAATAAAAAGTAGGCAATAAGAATACTTTCTATGGTTCACAACGTTTAAATAAACAATTTATTTTGCCACATCGAGACCGAGTCTCTATTTGGTTTCAACTTTGCGTAATGCTTATTGTGTCTTGTCCAGTTACAGGCCCAGGCAGATTATTATGCTTAAATCAAATGAGTTAGAAGTCAGAAAAAAGTCTTGAGATTTGGGACTGAAGTCTCATAATAGGTCAACTATTCACCCTTTCATACATGTATTGTCTGCAAATCCAGATTCCCTACTACATCATGGCAGCACCTATTTACTTGGCAATGTCTAATTATTTTTGGACCATTCTTATTTTATTTCCATTGACAACAAATTGGATATTACCCTTTAAAATCTATTGAAATCTATTTGAAAGTAAAATACTGTCCATCATTATCTTACTGCTATTTACTGTAAAAATACACATACATGTAGGGCCTATCGCAACTTGAAGGAAATCAATGGATGTGATTGGCAAAAATCAAGCATGCCAAGTACTTGAAACAGCAGAGTCCTAGGCATTGCCCCAAGAAGAATAACTAGATTACCAAGCAAGTGTATAGAAGTACTTCCTGATTAAAAATACAAATATATACGTTACTTACATTTTGCGTGTTTTCCCTTTGTCAGTGATACAGGACGGAAGACCTGACAAGGACAGCTGTCTAGTCGTTCGGATGGGACGAAAAACCGAGGTCCCGTGTACACATTGGCGTGCACGTAAAAGATTCCTTGGCAATTGGAATTCGATATAAGAGTAGGCTGTAGCGCCGCTGCCCGGGCAAAATTCCCTTCATAGCACACTGTATGGCGTATGCCCGTTTCATTCGGATGGGACGAAAAACCGAGGTCCCGTGTACACATTGGCGTGCACGTAAAAGATTCCTTGACAATTGGAATTCGATATAAGAGTAGGCTGTAGCGCCACTGCCCGGGCAAAATTCCCTTCATAGCACACTGTATGGCGTATGCCCGTCTTCATTAGCCCAATTTATAAGCAAAACAGTAGGATGTTAAACCCCATTTCATTTCGTTTTCAAAATTATAAAATAATTTGATGGCTTAATATTCAAAAGGTACAGTCCTTTATGTTTATAAAATTGTACGGGAGCCATAAAAAGCTCCTGATACCTTGAATATATGCAGTTTAAAAGTAAACAAAAATCTCAATATTTAGGAGAGAGAGTGAGAAATGGGGTTTAACGTCCATCCAACCCCCCCACCAAGTGTATAGAACCAGTTCCTGATTTAAAAAGCAAATATGCATGGTACTTACATAGTCTTTGTCTGATAAGCAAGATCTGTGAGAAAACGTCTCCACAATATCAATAGCCCTTTCCAACTTGATCTTCCGAGTTGGGTAACTGAAAAAAAAATTGGCAATGTATTAGTTGGCTTAAATTGACTAGACAGTTTTGATTAATTAAAAAAATGTTAATTTAATTACATTTGTTTTGTTTCATGTGTTGGTTTGCTTTGCCACAGATGAGACAGTGATATCTACATATAACTAAGATTCTGTCTCTGCTCATACATGACGTGTACAGTTTTACCATACTAAACTGAATTTTAGATTTCAAAATAGCATAACAATGTTTTCTATTAGAATTGAATAGTTACCCACCAAGAAAAAGCTGCTCTATCATCATTTTTTCCAGCCATTTCTTCTTCCATTTTTTTCTTTTATAATTTCTTTTGTTATTACATGATCTTTTTCTGGGTGATTTGCATATACATCCAATATTGAAACTGAAAAAATAAATACATGATATGTAATTTACGATTAAAGCTACCTTACCATATATACAAACTTTGTGATATGAAATTGAAACTAATGTACCTATATGTATCAAAAGTTTTAATCCCAAGGAACTACCTAAGCCGTAAAAGTCTATCTTAATAATCCTTGTTTGTCACATGGTTTCACTGTCGCAGTAATTAGAAGACGGCCATGGTGACTGAGTAAATTAGGTGCTGGCACACTAGCATGGAGGCCACAGGTTATCTCTTGGGGTTGACCGAGAAAGCTCATCAGGACTCAGACTAGCAATTATTTGCCCATTGACTTCAATGTTAAATGACTGCAACATCACAGGCTGTAGCTTTTTGCTCAACATTCCGTTGGTTCCAATCTGTATAGGCACAATGGGGACAACATTTGGCAATCTCCTTATCATAATTTTGTAGGGGGTTGACCATTTAGATTTTTTGCTACACGGATTTGAAGTTGACAGGGGTGAAAATCTCACTTCCGACACAATGATTGCTCTGCAGAAAGACACTTTACACCCCCTATCCCTCCGCTGTAATATCATCAGTATTACCCAAAACTGCTATGAAATTGCAAATTTGATCCCTTTTCTCCAATTCTAGACCAAAAAGTCAACCCAAAAATGCAGGAAGAGGGGAGAAAAAAATTAAGGGAAAAATTGTCTATTTATAACTCGCACTACATTCGTCCATCATGAAATAAGGGGAAATAATTACTAGTCTTAGTCCTATATACCTCACATGTTTCTGCAGTTTAAACAAATCTGTTGTTATCTAATAAACAAACATATATGCAATTCCCTGGCCAAAGAATATGAAAATCTATGCATTTTCAGATGAGCTATGCGGCATTCTGCAAACACTATAATACATCAGAAAACTGCGGAATTTCAGACAGAAATTTAAAAGCACATGAATTTTGAATTAAACAGAACATTTTTATTTTTGAACATAAATGCATTCTGTAAAACGATGAGATAAATTCAATATAAATCAAACACAAAAATACTTTAAAACAGTAATCATGATGCAATATTAGACTTTTTAACACTTTCATCGAAAACCACACAGTTTTTCTCTGTTAACGTAGTTTCAAGTGCCAAATTGTGGTCAAATCTAAAATGTTGAAACATGCAGTGCCTATCAATTTTAAAATATCTCCTATATAGCTGTATTTCCATAGGATAAGTAAGTTGAAATAATCTGATTATGTAACACTACAACAGCTTTTTCATCCCCACCCCCCAGTTTGGAATCTGATAATTTAAAAGCACATGAATTTTGAATTCCACAGAACATTTTTATTTTTGAACATAAATGCATTCTTCAAAAAGATGAGATGAATTCAATATAAATCAAACACGAAAATACTTTAAAACAGTAATCATGATGCAATATTAGACTTTTAACACTTTCATCGAAAACCACACAGTTTTTCTCTGTTAACATAGTTTCAAGTGCCAAATTGTGGTCAAATCTAAAATGTTGAAACATGCAGTGCCTATGAATTTCAAAATATCTCCCATCTAGCTGTATTTCCACAGGATAAGTAAGTTGAAATAATCTGATTATGTAACACTACAACAGTTTTTTCATCCCCACCCCCCATTATGGAATCCGATACATTGCTGACCAATCATAGGTCGCCCTGTTCACTCGGGCCTGTCAAATGATTTACAATGGCGATGGTGCCTACAACTTTCCTGACCAAGAGATATGTTATCTTCCAATATGAGAGGCCATGATAAACACATGGGCGTCCTTTTCAAGCTCGGAAATTAAGTCATCACCAAAAAGCAAAGTTTACAGAGGTCCTCGGGGCTGGAACCCAAACTGATTACGATTTGCCCTCCACTTCCACCACAGGTGTCATAGAGATCAGGGATGAAATTGATATGCATCATCGTTCTCCTAAAGCCAGTCCAGGAAGACATCAGGTTTTGAGATGTAGACCTGAAATGTTAAATTTGGATGAGAATGAGTTTTCTGGGGCGAATACTATCCAGGGAAACGGTCATTGACATCCAGAAAATGGTCAAAATGTGGAATTCTGTCATTCAGTTAAATGTCAAGGGGAGAAGACAGGCCTGTGCAGTAACAAATTTCCAGCCCATTACTATTAGTGAGCAGAAGTGTGGGGATCAGGTTGGATGTACTTCTTAAAGTGTATGAAATGCACATTTATCTCACCTGTTTTGCTTCTTTTTTTTTAATACTTGTGTTGAGGTCAATCATTCCACTCTATGAAACATTACCCTGGCACCTGGAAAGATAGGAGGCTGGGGATAAATATGCAATAAAAAAACAGTGAGAAAATAAGAAAAAAATATGGTTTCAACTGGAAATAGAAATAAACCTCTTTATTTCTAGCGAACAGCCTGTCACTGGCCCTCCAAAAAGAAACCAGTTAACAGGCAGTAAAAAAGTAAACCTTGAGTGTCATATAAGTCTAAGCCAATCTCAAAGGTAGATGCCATGTTTTGAGGTTCGGTCTAAATATTAAGGCCAACTGCATGTTTGGTCAAAAGTCACACAGGTGTGAATTTTGGAGTGTACATGTTAACATTTCATTGTATGATGTCAAAAACATGTTAGGTCTAAATGTTAAGGCCAACTGCAGACTTGGTTCAAGGTCGCAACATGTAAATAGGGTTAGGGCACATGATTTTTTGACACAATTGTGGGTTTGGGCTAGGGTCAGGACTAGGTCTTGGCTTAGGCCTAGGGTACATGCTTTTTGACAAGATTGTGGGTTAGGGTTAGGGTAAGGACTGGGTCTTGGGTTAGGGTTAGGGTCAGTCTTGTTTACATCTAGTGACTTTAGACCAAATCTGCAGTTGAGTTGGCCTTAATATTTAGACCTAACCATGTTTTGATATCATTGTGAACAAAATGTTACACATTTACAACCAAAAATTCACACTCAACCAACGGATACCCCCAATCATGGCTATTTTGATACCAAATAGTCAAAAAACTTACTGCTGGGCAATAAAAAAGCAGTATTCTTACCATTTCTGACACTTTCCATTCAAAACTTCAGGAAATAAGCCATTGAAAAAATATCAACATCCCGAGTCGGCCATGCGTCTTTATATCATCAGGACTCAGACTAGCAATTATTTGCCCATTGACTTCAATGTTAAATGACTGTAACATCACAGGCTGTAGCTTTTTGCTCAACATTCCGTTGGTTCCAATCTTTATAGGCACAATGGGGACAACATTTGGCAATCTCCTCATCATAATTTTGTAGGGGGTTGACCATTTAGATTTTTTGCTACACGGATTTGAAGTTGACAGGGGTGAAAATCTCACTTCCGACACAATGATTGCTCTGCAGAAAGACACTTTACACCCCCTATCCCTCCGCTGTAGTATCATCAGTATTACCCAAAACTGCTATGAAATTGCAAATTTGATCCCTTTTCTCCAATTCTAGACCAAAAAGTCAACCCAAAAATGCAGGAAGAGGGGAGAAAAAAATTAAGGGAAAAATTGTCTATTTATAACTCGCACTACATTCGTCCATCATGAAATAAGGGGAAATAATTATAAAGAAAAGACTTTTGATGATATATGAACTTATAAAACCATATAGGAGGCAGACCACCATTAAATTTCACCATCTCGGTACCCAGGAATTGTAGTTCGTCTATTTATAGCAATTCTCTCTCTCTCTCTTTTCTCCCCTTTTGCATGCCCATTTTTGTTGATTTTTTGGTCTAGAATGGACGAAGAGGGTTTGAATTAACATTTTCTGTCAGGTTTTGGTAAATATTCATGATTTTGAGGCGGAAGGATAAGAGGGTTATCAGGTTAGCTACGGCGATATGTACGGCAACTAGTCACATGTTTTTAGTATGCTTCTTCAAGTTTGTGTATCTCAAAATTTTGGTGGTCAACCTCATACAAATTTTAGTGCAAGGACATGACCATTTGTTCCTCTGTCTGTAGAGAAAAGCATTCAGCCAAACGAAAATTTTGGGAAAAGTTGGAGGTGGGCAAAGAGGCCAGAATTAACATTGAAGTCAATGGGGAAATTAATGGTGGTCTGCCTCCTATATGAAAACAACCTGACAGTGGATGAAAGGCCTAAATTTGATGATATGATCTCCAAATTGTCAGAAAATGTGATATATGGCATTTTGATAGTAAAAAATGTGAAATGGTAAAATTTCAAAAATATTTGACAAATTTGGGAGGGGAAGTTTTGATTTTAGTCAAAATTTTGTGATTTTCAGTGTTTATTTACTTTTCAAAATTAGTGGAAAATATTTTAATGTATGATTTTTACTTTTTCTGCATTATAAAGGTTAGACGGGAAGAAAGTATCATAATTTCCCTCAATTTTGCCTAAAAATCATGATAAATTGTCTGAAATTCTTCAGATTACCCCCAGTATTGCTGTCAAAATATTAATTATTCATCTGTTGTAAAATGAACCAAAATGTCTTGCATGTCTTTATTTTCATTGTTAAATAACTTGGCAAGGATCCATGTGTTTGTCAGATATTGAAAAAGTATTCATGTGTTTGTCAAAAATTTAAAAATTAAGAAATTTAGTCTAATTATGTTCTGCTTAGGTGTGTTAGAATTTTCAAAACATGAGTGAACTGCATTTTGCTGCTGTTTTCCTCAGGCTTAACATAATTTTAATCTTTCAAAACCTGAAATTGTTGCATTTCCCTTCTCGAGAAGGTAAAATCTATGTGTTTGCAGGGAAATTTCTCTGTCTTCATTTCATTTAGAATGGCTTACCCTCCCCACCCCACCCCTTTTCTTGAAGATGATATTTGGATATTCAATTGAACATTTGTTGACTCCAAATTAGCAGTAATTTGATTTTGTGCTTGAATTGTAACCGAGCATTTTATTTGACACAAACAAATAGTTACATATAAGATTTCAAGGATTTCTAAGACTTTTTGTTTATGGTCAAACATGTAATCCTATGACATTTCTTCCAAATGAGTCCACACCCCAAAATGGATATGTTGTAGATGTGTTTTTTGCAGCTTAATGTTTTACATTTTGAATGTAAATCAATTATTTGTGGTGATCTTTTAAAATGTGGCACTTACAGGGCTATAAAATATTAATTAATAGCCTTTTCATACCCCTTTTATGCTTTGAATTATGTCAGAACTCCCTTTTTCCATCTCATTTTGTCAGGACATTGATGTAAAGATCAAAATAACTTGCTTCCACATAATATTTACACTGTGTAATTTCAAGGATACCTCTGATTGTTAAAGTATTTTTAAAACTGAAATATTCCCATTTTTAAAAAAAAAATAGTGCTTTGCGACCCTTTTATTAGAGTGGCTGGTTGTCACCTAAATACAGCATTTATTTTACATTTATCAATCCATATTTTAATAAATAATTCATACTTCTTATAACAAACTGTGTTTATATGTATGTATATAAGCCAGGGATAGAAGAACATGGCTTTTAGCCATATTCCATCAACAGTATTACTTATGTGGACACAAGTGGGATTTGTTACCACACCAACATTTTTAGGGGGTGGGCTTACAGGTTTCACTATAGTTCCTTACAGTTACCTTCAATGCAACAAATTTGCAGCTTGTCTTCCTGTATACCGGCCAAGGTTTCTAGAAATAAATGCTTTTCATCTCAGACTTTCCCAAAAATAGGGAAATATTAGCATTTTGAGGCATACAAAGTGTCAAAAATGGACCATTTTGTAGAAAAAGGTAAAAGAAAGTCAATTTTTGAAAAATATTCCAATGTTTTGAATATTTTTGATGTGACTTGTTTGAAACTCTTTAAATCTTTTCGCAGAACTCACATTTCGACAAAATTAAGAAAGAATCTTCAATTCTAGAACAAAAGGCCCATGGACCTGAGCTGCAATCTGGTATACAAAACAGTACATAACTTTAAAGGGTCACCATTTCTGCAGTAATTATTTTTTTCTGATTCTGTATTATAATAATGTTGCAAAAATAAATGTGAAGCTATAAAGAAAAGAATTTTGATGATATATGAACTTATAAAACCATATAGGAGGCAGACCACCATTAAATTTCACCATCTCGGTACCCACGAATTGTAGTTCGTCTATTTATAGCAATTCTCTCTCTCTCTCTTTTCTCCCCTTTTGCATGCCCATTTTTGTTGATTTTTTGGTCTAGAATGGACGAAGAGGGTTTGAATTAACATTTTCTGTCAGGTTTTGGTAAATATTCATGATTTTGAGGCGGAAGGATAAGAGGGTTATCAGGTTAGCTACGGCGATATGTACGGCAACTAGTCACATGTTTTTAGTATGCTTCTTCAAGTTTGTGTATCTCAAAATTTTGGTGGTCAACCTCATACAAATTTTAGTGCAAGGACATGACCATTTGTTCCTCTGTCTGTAGAGAAAAGCATTCAGCCAAACGAAAATTTTGGGAAAAGTTGGAGGTGGGCAAAGAGGCCAGAATTAACATTGAAGTCAATGGGGAAATTAATGGTGGTCTGCCTCCTATATGAAAACAACCTGACAGTGGATGAAAGGCCTAAATTTGATGATATGATCTCCAAATTGTCAGAAAATGTGATATATGGCATTTTGATAGTAAAAAATGTGAAATGGTAAAATTTCAAAAATATTTGACAAATTTGGGAGGGGAAGTTTTGATTTTAGTCAAAATTTTGTGATTTTCAGTGTTTATTTACTTTTCAAAATTAGTGGAAAATATTTTAATGTATGATTTTTACTTTTTCTGCATTATAAAGGTTAGACGGGAAGAAAGTATCATAATTTCCCTCAATTTTGCCTAAAAATCATGATAAATTGTCTGAAATTCTTCAGATTACCCCCAGTATTGCTGTCAAAATATTAATTATTCATCTGTTGTAAAATGAACCAAAATGTCTTGCATGTCTTTATTTTCATTGTTAAATAACTTGGCAAGGATCCATGTGTTTGTCAGATATTGAAAAAGTATTCATGTGTTTGTCAAAAATTTAAAAATTAAGAAATTTAGTCTAATTATGTTCTGCTTAGGTGTGTTAGAATTTTCAAAACATGAGTGAACTGCATTTTGCTGCTGTTTTCCTCAGGCTTAACATAATTTTAATCTTTCAAAACCTGAAATTGTTGCATTTCCCTTCTCGAGAAGGTAAAATCTATGTGTTTGCAGGGAAATTTCTCTGTCTTCATTTCATTTAGAATGGCTTACCCTCCCCACCCCACCCCTTTTCTTGAAGATGATATTTGGATATTCAATTGAACATTTGTTGACTCCAAATTAGCAGTAATTTGATTTTGTGCTTGAATTGTAACCGAGCATTTTATTTGACACAAACAAATAGTTACATATAAGATTTCAAGGATTTCTAAGACTTTTTGTTTATGGTCAAACATGTAATCCTATGACATTTCTTCCAAATGAGTCCACACCCCAAAATGGATATGTTGTAGATGTGTTTTTTGCAGCTTAATGTTTTACATTTTGAATGTAAATCAATTATTTGTGGTGATCTTTTAAAATGTGGCACTTACAGGGCTATAAAATATTAATTAATAGCCTTTTCATACCCCTTTTATGCTTTGAATTATGTCAGAACTCCCTTTTTCCATCTCATTTTGTCAGGACATTGATGTAAAGATCAAAATAACTTGCTTCCACATAACATTTACACTGTGTAATTTCAAGGATACCTCTGATTGTTAAAGTATTTTTAAAACTGAAATATTCCCATTTTTTAAAAAAAAATAGTGCTTTGCGACCCTTTTATTAGAGTGGCTGGTTGTCACCTAAATACAGCATTTATTTTACATTTATCAATCCATATTTTAATAAATAATTCATACTTCTTATAACAAACTGTGTTTATATGTATGTATATAAGCCAGGGATAGAAGAACATGGCTTTTAGCCATATTCCATCAACAGTATTACTTATGTGGACACAAGTGGGATTTGTTACCACACCAACATTTTTAGGGGGTGGGCTTACAGGTTTCACTATAGTTCCTTACAGTTACCTTCAATGCAACAAATTTGCAGCTTGTCTTCCTGTATACCGGCCAAGGTTTCTAGAAATAAATGCTTTTCATCTCAGACTTTCCCAGAAATAGGGAAATATTAGCATTTTGAGGCATACAAAGTGTCAAAAATGGACCATTTTGTAGAAAAAGGTAAAAGAAAGTCAATTTTTGAAAAATATTCCAATGTTTTGAATATTTTTGATGTGACTTGTTTGAAACTCTTTAAATCTTTTCGCAGAACTCACATTTCGACAAAATTAAGAAAGAATCTTCAATTCTAGAACAAAAGGCCCATGGACCTGAGCTGCAATCTGGTATACAAAACAGTACATAACTTTAAAGGGTCACCATTTCTGCAGTAATTATTTTTTTCTGATTCTGTATTATAATAATGTTGCAAAAATAAATGTGAAGCTATAAAGAAAAGAATTTTGATGATATATGAACTTATAAAACCATATAGGAGGCAGACCACCATTAAATTTCACCATCTCGGTACCCACGAATTGTAGTTCGTCTATTTATAGCAATTCTCTCTCTCTCTCTTTTCTCCCCTTTTGCATGCCCATTTTTGTTGATTTTTTGGTCTAGAATGGACGAAGAGGGTTTGAATTAACATTTTCTGTCAGGTTTTGGTAAATATTCATGATTTTGAGGCGGAAGGATAAGAGGGTTATCAGGTTAGCTACGGCGATATGTACGGCAACTAGTCACATGTTTTTAGTATGCTTCTTCAAGTTTGTGTATCTCAAAATTTTGGTGGTCAACCTCATACAAATTTTAGTGCAAGGACATGACCATTTGTTCCTCTGTCTGTAGAGAAAAGCATTCAGCCAAACGAAAATTTTGGGAAAAGTTGGAGGTGGGCAAAGAGGCCAGAATTAACATTGAAGTCAATGGGGAAATTAATGGTGGTCTGCCTCCATCTTGATTTTGCAGAGTGGTTTCCCCTGAGATCCAATGTACACATTGGTGTACACATAAAAGTTCTCTTGGCAGTTTGAATTCGGTATGAGAGTAGGCCATAGTGTCGCTGCCCAGACAAACATTTTCACTTAGCACAATGCATTAGACCAGTCAGAGCTGACCAGTAGGACGTCTTTAAACCCCATTTCATTTCAGGTAATCTAGTATTTTTCTAGTAAGATTGAAGTCTCTCTACTTTCTTTATATGTAAATATCATATTTGAAATAAGTCATACTTTTATTCGATATGGGGTGGGGCTGGGGGGAATGGTCTAGTAGGTAATGCATGCGCATGAAATCACAGGGTCTGTCATTGTGTTAAGTGGCATGGTTTCAATTTCAAGGAGTAGAGTCGCCTGTCCAATCTCTTGAGTTTTTTCGCTGGGTCATTCGGTTTCCTCCGTTTTCTAAATACATGTACCCCTACGCCAAGCGAATTATTCATATTAAATTGAAGCATACCTTCTCTAATCTCTGGGTCCTTTTGTTTCCTCCTTTTGCTAAATACCCATACCCGCAAGGGAATTATTCATATTAAATTTAACCTTACCTGTCCTTTTTCCCGAAACGACCTAGCGTCTGTAGGCTAAGTAGATATAAGGACCCATCTTGCAACAACTCTACAAATATTACAGTAACATACCAATTTTTAATACATGTAGAATGAGACAGTGTGCAGGGAAAGGGTGGAAACGGAAGTAGGCTAATCCTCGTCGTAGTTGATTACCGGTATGCATATAGGCACAGCATGGACTACTTGATTCTTCAAATACAAGTACATGTAAGGCCTTGTTTATGTCATTTCTCTCTCTCTCTCTCTCTCTCTCTCTCTGTTGCATGTAAGTGCCATATAAATACTTTATTTTGGATTGTATGTTCACATACACTAATCGTTGTAGGACATTGGTAAAAAAAAAAATAGAAAATATAAAAATTAATTGAAATTTTTACCTGTTTTTCTTCGATTCAATGCCAATGGAGTCCTTGGTAAATTCTCAATAATTATTGCTGGAAGGTGGAAAGAGTCACATATCATCACTGACTGGAAAAAATAATAAAACTATAGAGAAACTTCCACAGGCTGATTCTAGTTCCATTATTTATTAACTGTGACTGAATCAGGCAAAAATGGGGCCTAATATTAAATATTACACAGACTCACAGAGGTTGAACAACGGATTACATGTCATTTGGGACTCTCGTCATTTGGGACTCAAAAAAATATGACCACGACATTTGGGACTCGGGTATACGACGTTTGGGACTTTGGTATACGTCGTTTGGGACTCGGGTTAACGACGTTTGGGACTCGGGATAATTTATTAGAAATAGGCCAATTCAAAACACGAAAGAAAATATTTATTAACATGAAACACGTGGTTAGTAAAAGGCTCAACCAAACGATAAAACATTAGTTGCACTTACGATTCTTTGATAATCATCGTTTCTCATAAAAGTTTTATATTTATTTAAAACGAATAATATGCTGATGAATTTATTTGAAAATGACCTACAAAAAAACCAAAATAAATATTTACACGACATGCAATCTTTTTTTACAAGCCACTAGAAATTGTTAACGATAATCCGTGAGCTGCACGTTGACATGCTTGTCGTAGATGGCAATACCAATTGATAAATTAGTGCGTACAAGGCAAAGTTTTTTTGTGGAAAATATAAGAAATGGCAACGAACAAAGCGGGATAATTAAAGCTGATTAACTGATAATCCCAATGTTATTACAGTATGTTCAAAGAAACCTAACGGTTCTTTGGTGGATGAGGAAAAACGTGAGTTGTCAATCATCGAGAATGGCGGCCGTGTGTTGATTGCAGTTATACCGTTTCACGAAAAATCATTAGCAGTGGTCGGTCAATCAAGCGCGTTTACTATTTATAACGCAAATTTTTCGTTTCGGTTAAAACAAAATATACGTCCATTTTAATTGGCCGAAGGATGTGTGACTAATAGAAATATGACGGGCGGACAAACTGACCAAACAGTATATTTCGAGGTATTTGAGGTAAGCTAATTTAATATTATATCATAACTGCATGTGCATACTTGTGTTTCTGTGTGATTAAATATTCAAAAAATCATTCTTAGGATACAGCCTCGACACCAGTCCGCCTTGAATTGCAATGTTTGTTTTGTGTTCTGGGCGCCATTTTGAAAAACACTGACATGACCTATATAATACAATCCAGCGATAGTGCGGTCAATTTCCTTTAAAAGGGAATCCGAATTTGTTAATTTTCTGCAATATCACTTCGGTGGTAGCGGACGTTAAATAAAGCTATTTCACGTACAAAGACCTACAATAAAATCCAGGTGAATTGGGAAAAATATTCATGTATTTTCTTGATGAAGAGTAACTATTTCAATTTGTAAATGCCCAGTCATCTTAGACAAATAATAATTCCAACTTCAAATCAGTTGTATTTATTCAAATCATACTATGAATAATTGTATTTTTCCACTTGCATAATAATAAAAACTTGACTTTTATTATTTTATTTCTTCAGGCCAAGAACATGGAAAATTGGTAATTGCCTTGTATCACTGCTAACTATAAGGCACAGGGAGCCTTGGGCAGAAATGATAATAATATGGTTCTCAGATATGTTACTGTGTACAGACTGAACAAAAAATATATATACACTTGCTATTACATGTACATTGTATCATTGGCAATAATAAGATCCAATTTTAGTTTTTAGTTACACACTGTTAACCACCAATAGATGACAATAAATCATAAAATGTATTCAGCTCCACGTAAGACTTAAATAAATAGATACAGTTGGTTTAACTTGAATAGAAGTTTTTATTATCTATGCTGCATATATGCATATATCACCTTGTAGCTGAATCACATTACATATCTTTTTAGTTGATGTTCATATCGTCTTACGTATTTGTCAACATCAAGGTGACCTTGTTCTATGTCACATTAGCCTTTTCAGACTTGTTACCACGAATTTACTTACCACACCCTCGCATAGTTATGAATTTATTGTTTCACTTGACTAAAGAAACATTTTGTAGGAATGTATGCTTTTATAGATTGGACACTTGTTTGCAATATCATTGTCGGTGGAAACTGGCACTATACCTAAAGAATGACTGAACAAATAGCGGAGACGGGGTTTCAGCCGGCTGATTTAAATTATTTCTTTAAATACAGTAAAGCTTGAAATATGTCAGTTTTCACTCTTTAGAATGTTTTTGTAAATAAGTTTTTATTGTAGTTTCCGTGGCGTATTCCCAATAAGCGTTAGAAACAAAGATATACACCCTTAATCCCGGTGCCGATGAATGTTGGGTTGTGTGGAACATGCTAACAAATCTCTCTCTCGAGAGAGAGAGATGGGGTTTAACGTCCACTCGACACAAACTAGGTCATTTCGGGACTAACATATGGTTTAATTTTATTTCAATAATTCGCTTGCATAGGGGTCTTTAGCAGTGGGAGGAAACCGGAGGACCCGGAGAAAACCCACGAGGTTGGACAGGCGACCCTACTCCTTGTCACGTACAACCGGGGATTCGAAACCACGCCAGTCGACTCAATGACAGACTTTATGATACAGCGCGCGCACGCTAACCATTCAGCCATCCAACCCCCCTAACAAATCTCGGGTACGATATATGTTTGATTCTGGTTGAGAACAGCATGAGAGCAACATGATTGTTTTCATTGGAGATGAGACGCAAATATTCAAAGGGGTCAGACAAACTCTAAACCAACCGCGTTCCCTTCACTGAGTCCCTTCAAAGGAGGCCCTGTCTGTCTACCTGTGGAATAACATGCATTTGTATCTGTTAAATTTTTGTGGTAGACAGATTGATATTATTTATATAACGTCTTACCCCAAACAAATTGCAAAAGAAACCATGAAGTTTCTGAGAGCGATATTTCGTAATTAGTGTGCTTTAATGGTGGGAGAATAAATAATTTCTTTTTAAATTTTTCAAACACAAACTGGTCATATATAAAATAGCATTTTCTGACAAGACCAGCGATAATCTCGTAAGATATGACTTTTACTATGTCTATTAAATGGTTTTCCACGTCTCTTCAAGGTCAACGTCTTGCGCCAAAGTCGTGAAACGCACCGTCTGGGGATTTGTTGGGGCCTGTCTCCCCCAGAAAAATTTCTAGAAATTTCAAGTCGGTCTTGCCTGGCCGTGAATACGGCAACCTGAAAGTGGTCGATTTTAATGTAGACATCTGAACTCCAATCAACAAATCAATCAACCAGGCTGTTGTCGTTGCATTCACATGACACCAGACGTGTCACCGATGAAACAAATATGCCTGAAACAAATGTCGCTGTTAGTGCGACCCATTTGTGACAATTTCAAGGTCCCAAATAATAGTCCTTTTTTACTATTAATAGTAATTCAATCAGTAAGTGCTATTTACCTTATAATAGTCGTCTTGGCTTTTACCCGACATTACACAAAACACCAATGGTAACTGTCGGGTGGTCTCTCCAGTCTTAATGAAGGCGTGGATGGAAAACAGCTGAGACCATGACTTGTTCACCACCCGAAAAGTTGCATCCATATACCAAGTTTTTGCGCGTGCGAGTAGTTGCATCTGTCTATCAATCCAAAATATGTGATGGCGCCTTTCCCCAACTTTTACTCTTTTTTGATAAAATCCCGGTGCACTATGATCGATGAAATCTTCGTCAAGCTAAAACAAAAAATAAATAAAAAAGCACATTTAATTACATGTTAATAAATAAATCAAATTGTACATTTAATTACATGTTAATAAATTCTTATATACATGGGTATTTAATTGCATGAGTACTTACGCTTGACGACACGTCAGTGGGATCTTTTGGTCGCAGAGTCTGTCGGGTTCTTTGTAGCGACCTTACAAGTGCTGCCATGTGTGGTCTGCTATGAATGGGTTCTTCTGCAGAACCGACACTGGATAAAACTCTCTCCGCTATTGAGGAACATGACTTGGTAAAAACATTTCCTTTGGCTTCATGCTTTGCCTGTAATGATAAGATAAAACATATTAAACTACAAATATATTATTGGTTTATTTATATTTTATTTATTTACACACATATATAAATTTTTAATTTAATTGATATATAATTTTTAAACCTACTGTAACTTTTATCTTGGTAGCCGTCTGTATACCGGGTTCTGCTGGGTGAAGATGGTTCTTTAAGCCTGGTTGGTATGTATCACCATCTTGGATTACTGTTGCCGGACATCGTGTTGGTCCGCTTCTTTTGGAACACCTCCAAATCGTAGTTTTCTTCTCTGTCTAAAATATATTAAATTCATTTATTATTATAGAGTTAACTAGGTTAACTAGAGTTAATTATCTTTACATTTTGTAGCTGAAATACATTTCTATACAAGGTATAGTTAACTAGGTAAAATAAATCACCCTACCTTAATTGTATAACTAAACCCTTGGTTGTCAAACAACTTGGACTTGCCACGGGAGGTACCAGCTTCTACCTGCGTATACACCACTACGGATTCTTCGTCGCAGAAGACACTAACGTCGGCATCGTCTGAGATGGAGGACTCCATGACCGGAACTGACACATCGTATCGGGTTTCGGCTGTAAACGATTCTTCTACTTCCATAGGTTCAGTTGTTGGGACCTCCATAACTTCTTCTTGTTGTTCGTCCATATCTTCCGTCTGCTTATTAGATTTAAGGTTGTTTTTTTTAAACATAAATTAGATTACAATTCAACTAACACAAAAGTGTAAAAAGATTTTTTTCTAGTCTGTGCCCGCGTTTATGTCTACTCCTGGCAAAATTGTTATAATATAAAAAAAATCATGAAACAAGAATCAAAATGGCCGCCAATCAGGTCTCCAACGCCAATCCAACCTCCCAAGATATAATTTCAAAACAGATTCTTACCTGCTGGTTCAAGTCGAGCCGTTTCTGCTTTAACCATAATGTGATTCTGTAATGTAAGTATTTGAACAACATCGTAGCGCCGAACAACTAATGTTAATTAAGCATGATTTCAGAAAAATTGAACAGATTTGATAATAACATGCCGAAATTTTTTTCCTGACCGCGCCATATTATAAACATGAACTTCCGGTTTAAATTGTTGGAGTTTTTTTAAGGAAACGAAATACTAATATTATACAGAGAAACAATATCGATGCTAAATTACATACATGGTATTATTTTTTTTATATAAATATTCACAAACCTGCGGTCTTGTATTCTATCTGACCATTAACTTACATTTGTCAAACATATCACTGCTTCAAAATCATTTCAGCACGTTGTTAAATGTTAAATTAATTGTGTGAAATCACTTCATTTAATGTCCGCTTCCACCGAGATGATATCGCAGACAAAATGTAGACTATAGTACGTTGATTTTATCAACCAATCACATTCACTTATTTTCTTGTCAACGCATTTGGAGTCAATTGTTAAAATCACACCGGGCATGAGCGCTCAGCAGGCCTTTGATCTACCAGTTTATTGGGCCCAACTTTATTTTAACTACAGACATCTTAACACCAATTAGCATTCAAGTCTGTCTGGCTATATTGTCTGAGTAAAAAATACTTTTCTCTTACTTGTGGACCCCCGGATTAAGACTTTGTATGGAGTTCAAATTTAAAAAAAAAAAAAATTTGTTGACGGTTCACATTACTTGTGTTAATTATATGGAAAAAACACAAGATTTGTGTTAATGCATTAAAAAGAACACAAGTTTGTGGTAATGCAATGCAAAACAACACATAACTTGTGTAGAATAATTTTCACACAAGTACTTGTGTTGAGATCCAACACAAGTTTTTTTTCAGTGTAATTGTTTTCAAATTTGAGTGAAGTATTTGACACTACAGACCCGGGACTGTATAGCGCAGTGGACGCTTACGGCTAGCCCCCGGATCCATTCACTTTTTTTGAATTGTCTGTATATGGTTTTGTTTTCCTGAGTATGATGTCCTGTCCGGGTATTTGTTTTTGTGTAAATTTTGTGTGGTGCAGTCCCCCTGCACTTACTATTAGAAAGAAATTGAACCCAGCAAACACCAAAACCATTACAAACCATATCCAACGGGAAAAAATGACGAATAATTAAAATTCCACCGGTTTGGATTCCATTTTGCCGGCCATTTTGAATTTCTACCGTCAAAAATTTTTGAAATTTATTTTTGAGGTCAGAGTTGAACCCAATACATATATAAGACATATTACAAAATTCCGTATTTTTGGATTAAATTTTGCCGGTCATTTTGAATTTCTGACATCAAGGATTTATTTTTGAGATCAGTATTGAACCCGGCATCATCGAAAACCGTGAAAATAACATGTTACAAGTAATATCTAACAAGTAATAAATTAATATCTGCCGATTTGTGTTGCTGGCATTTTGGATTTTGGAAGTTTATCTTTAAATTCAGATACATCGAAAACCATATAAAAGACATAGCAAAAGTCATATCTAACGTAACAGTAGGACGTTAAACCCCATTTCATTTCATATCTTACGAGACTATCGCTGCCCTTTTATTACCAAATTTGGCAGCAAATTTGAAAGAAATTCCCGGCACCATATGAAAAATACATTTTTGTCCCCCGCCTTTCGAAGAAAGCAGGGGACTATTAAAATGGGTCCGTCCGTCTGTCTTGTCTGTCTGTCACACTTTTTGGGACACAATAACTCACCTTCAAATTGAGAAAGAATGTTCAAACTTGGTGTAGGTGTTTTATTGGTAGATGCTTTGAGACACGATAACTTTAGTTCTAATTAAGTGAGAGTGATGAAACTTAATGTATAGTTTCAATACATCAATACCTTGTGACTACGTTCGATAATGAGCATACTATGCTCAGGTTAAGCAGAGCAATAAGCCATTTGATTGGCTGTGACTTTGGAACTCAATAACTCTCCTTCTAATTGAGGTAGAATGTTCAAACTTGGTGCAGGTCTTTATTAGGCCAATGCCTTGATGGAGTTGCACATGTTATCCTACTGTTGTTTATTGTCCTATGTACATATATATGAAAACCTAATTATCCGATTATTTCTCACTAATCACATTGTAAATTAATGCACCTTGTACACATAACATGTCATTGTCTGCGATATCACCTCGGTGGAAGCGGACGTAAAATACAACTAACTCATCATGGAGTTCGAAGATGAGAATTATCTGCTTAGGGTAAGCAGAGATAAGCAGATTGGTTGGTTGATTTTTTGGTACACGATAACTTTAGTTCTAATTCAGTGAGAGTGGGGACACTTGGTGTATAGTTTTATCACATCAATACCTGTCGTGACTAAGGAACGATCAGCAATTTGATTGGTCAAGACTTTGGAACGTAACAACTCTGCTTTTAATTGGGGGGGTTGGATGGCTGAATGGTTAGCTGCGCGCGCTGTATCATAAAGTCTGTCATTGAGTCAACTGGCGTGGTTTCGAATCCCCGGTTGTACGTGGCAAGGAGTAGGGTCGCCTGTCCAACCTCGTGGGTTTTCTCCGGGTCCTCCGGTTTCCTCCCACTGCTAAAGACCCCTACGCGCAAGCGAATTATTGAAATAAAATTAAACCATATGTTAGTCCCGAAATGACCTAGTTTGTGTCGAGTGGACGTTAAACCCCTTCTCTCTCTCTCTCTCTCTCTCTCTGCTTTTAATTGAGGTAGAATGTTTATACTTGATGTAGATGTTCATTAAGTGAATGTCTTGACTGAATTCAATAATTAACATTTCGAGCTAAAGCTAAGCTGAGCTAAGCAATTTCATTGGTCGATGCTTTAGATTGATGAATTGTCGTTAAGAGAATCTGCACCTTTAAAAAAATATTTTAAATTCATTAAACACAGTGGTTAGCAAGCGAAATGTGCCGAAAAATTTAATTAAAGGAAATTGCTTATCTTTGCTTAGCTTAAGCTCGATATGTTAATCATTGAACTCAGTCAAGTTTAAACATACTACCTCAATTAGAAGCAGAGTTGTTGTGTTCCAAAGTCTTGACCAATCAAAATGCTTATTGCTCCTTAGCCTAAGCAGAAAATTTTCATCATCGAAGTTAGTCAAGGAATTGATATACTGAAACTATACACCAAGTTTCATCACTCTCACTTAATTAGAACTAAAGTTATTGTGTCCCAAAGCATCAACCAATCAAATTGCTTATCTCTCTTACCCTAAGCAGAAAATGTTCCCGACGCCTCCCGAGGCTCATCAATATCTATGTGTGGCACATCCGCAAGGAAAAAATTGCCCAGTGGTACCTACGCATTATATAAGACAAATGTAATAAGGTCACTTCTTGAAATTGCACGACTTATTAACATTTCAATTGTTGATTATTTATTATTTTATCCTTATTATTTCGGCAATAATCTTATATATTACGCCGGGGGGTGGGGGTCCATCAAATGGCCACAAAACCAGACCCAACTTTTCTAGAGTACAATTATTTTGCGTAGAATAAGATGCCGAGTGGTAATTATTCCGCCCTTGAGGCGTTTTCGAGATATTCGGGGTCAAAGGTCATTTGCACTGAAAATGAATGCAGCCATTCTTGTATCACGAAAACATGCTGAAAATGTAAATTTGCCTGAAAAGTTTTGTCAAGTGACTAAGTTTCCAATCCCGCGTGAACTTGACAAGGAGTAGGGTCGCCTGCCCTACACCATGTCAATGAAATTCAACCAGAATTACATAGTTTGTGTCGAGTGGACGTTACCCCCCCCCCCCCTCTCTCTCCCCCTCTCTTTGTCCCTCATACTTGAAATTATACTCGGACATTGTGCATATATACGTAAGTGTTAATTCAGAAAGTAGCAAATGGTATTTCCCGGGGGCCTTTGTGTCTGGTGGGTAAGGCTAGATCTATTTCCTAAGGCCACTTCCAGATTTCGTCAAGGTCGCTGAGATGTAAATAAGGTTAGGGCACGTGATTGTTGACGAGGTTGTGGGTTAGGTTTAAGAATTAGGGCTGTAATCTTTAATATATAAGGTTAGAGTGTACCCTATACAAATATTTAAATATATATTATTTTATTTTTATACAGAGATTTACATAGTAGCAAGTTGATCATTGTACTGGTGAATCGAGGCTGAATACTGGTTACTCGCAGCTGATTCAAATTGTATTTCAACTGTTTCTGTCCAATGAACCTTGGTGGAATCGGTTGTCAAAACCCTTGAACTAACGAACGAATGCAGCCCGTTGTACAGAAGGTATAATAATAATAAAAACAACCCTACGAAGCACAAGCCATATCTAATTGACCCATAATTTACAAACATGGCGAATAAACTATTCAGGGTGTTTGGATATGTTGTATGTGGTGGTCTTGTTGGTATCTTTATTGTCTGGTGTAAAGATGGAGGAAGAGATAGAACACCACTGTCGGTGTTTGGTAACAGTTCCGGTATGACTGATATCAACGCTAATGAATCCGCTAGGTTCCCACTAACTTTAGACGGTGATTATATACTGAACAGTCCCAAACTATGTTCCGACATTCCAACAGTAAAGGCCTTGGTTGTCGTTCACACGGCCGTCCATCATTTCACCAGACGACATAATATACGGTCCACGTTTGGATCACGTGATTTGTTTAAGGAAGTGCGTGTTGTGTTTCTGTTGGGATTAGTTAATGACGTCAAGATTCAGGAATCCATACAACGGGAGCATATTAAATATGGCGACACGGTTCAGGGCAATTTCATAGATTCATATCATAATCTTACCCATAAAGGTGTGATGGGGCTAAGGTGGATAACTGAACATTGTTCAAATGTAAAATACGTAGTCAAAGTTGACGATGACGTAATATTTGATATGTGGCGCTTTTTAAATTATTTCGGTTCATTTTCGAAAGGCAGGAGTATATTCTGCAATGTTATAAAAAACGGTTGGATATTTCGCAAAGGAAAATGGAAGTTAGACAATGAAATATTTTACGACAGGAAGCGGTGGCCTTGGCCTTATTGTCCCGGTTTTGTTGTTATATTATCTGGTGACGTCATAAAACCTTTGTTCGAAGCTGCGTACATGACACCATATATATGGATCGACGACGTCTATTTATACGGTTATCTCCCTTTCCAGGCACGTGGGATAAACATACAAAACTTTCCAAAACATCATGGCTGCAGTTCCGGAAAACGCAGCCATGAATGTCTTCTCAAAAATGGTGATAACTGTACACACATGGCAGTGAATGTACCTGAAAACAAATATCAAATGTATTGGAATCTGATAAAAAAGCGAAATAAGAAAACTTAATGAAATTTGTTATGGCTGTGTTTCAAGTTTAAAAGCAAGATGGCTGAAATAAAATTCTAACCCGGGTGTTCATTACGTCGCGTTTAATTTTTGACGTTGTAACAAGAGAGGTCAAAAACTCAATAAATTTATTCTATCTCTTTCAAGTTGGGTAAATGCAAATAAACTTTTTACGTTTTTATATAATACAGGATATGCTTAAACATGCATTATGCAAGAGCAAAATCTGCTTATTACAAGTCTTTCTTTAGGCCTGAAATGTTATCTAAATTATCAATTAGACATTAATTAACTTATCCAGACCATAACAAACTCTCGATGTCAAGGCTAGCCTTCGATGTTGGCTGGATTAGATTCCTATATGCCTCTAACGGCCATTGGGGATCACGTGGCTAAGTGGGTAAGACGCTAGCTCGCTAGCCTGGAGGTCGGGTGTTCGATCCCTGCATTGGCCGAGAAAGTTCATCCAGATTTTCCGGCGTGGTTCTCCCTTGTCAGTGATGCAGGACGGAGGGGCTGACAAGGAAAGCTGTCTAGTCGTTCGGATGGGACGAAAAACCGAGGTCCCGTGTACACATTGGCGTGCACGTAAAAGATCCCTTGGCAGTTGGAATTCGATATAAGAGTAGGCCGTAGTGCCGCTGTCCGGGCAAAATTTCCCTCATAGCACACTGTATGGCGCATGCCCGTCTTCATTAGCCCAGGTTAGGAGCAGAACAGTAGGACGTTAAACTCCATTTCATTTCATTTCATTTCTAACGGCCATTGATAATTAAATTTTTAAAAAGTGGATAATCGAGACTATATATGCTGTTTATATTAATGATTTTAGTAATGATGACCGAGACTATGCAAAAATTTCACCCGCTTCTTTCTCGGCTCATAGTGGATCAATTTGATTGAAATTTTCAGCAAATTACCTTTACACTATCTAGTTTTTAACTATTATAGCAAGAACTGCCATCTCTTTATCTTATCTCCCATAATGTATCTTTAATGCATCTTATGTCGTTTTACATAAGGGGTTTGGATGGCAGAATGGTTTTCTCCCACTGCTAAAGACACCTACGTGCAAGCGATTATTGAAATAAAAATTGAACATTACTCCCGAAATGACCTAGTTTGGAGCGAATGAACATTAAACCCCATCTCTTTCCCGTTTTATATAATTGACACTTATTTATACAAAAATTGAACATTATTTTGTTGTGTCTTAATAATTTCGATGAAGAATAATACATAAAAGGCAATTAAATTTCAATGATTTATAATTAATCAGCCGAGCAAAACGATGTGATTTTATAACACATATCGTCGATTATATGGGCGAGTTTAGTACGACTCGGCCTAAACTGCGTCGCTTATTTTAAGCATATAGAATAAATTGTATTTCGTTTTTAATAAATCAGGACGTACATTTCTAATTTTTAACGAAGCCGTCAACCTCGATCAAAGGTTTTGGTATTTTGCCGTTTGGGCAACTGGGCAAAACGAACCTACCAGAAATCTGACCGAAGAGAGTCAATACAAGTTGGCGGTCCGCGGAGATGTGTAAACTTTCCAAAAGGAATCCGCAAGTAGTAAAGTCTCTTAGAGTGTTGATACACAATACATCATGGCACGACAGTCTTAAATGAATGCTTACTTTTTGGTACATATGCCATGTTGGCATTATCTGAGTGTAAATTTTGCGGTTGTACGTGACAAGGAGTAGGGTCGCCTGTCCAACCTCGTGGGTTTTCTCCGGGTCCTCCGGTTTCCTCCCACTGCTAAAGAACCCTACGCGCAAGCGAATTATTGAAATGAAATTAAACCATATGTTAGTCCCGAAATGACCTAGTATGTATCGAGTGGACGTTAAACCCTCCCCCTCTCTCTGTGTTTTGTGTTTCTTATGTGTTTGTGCGATTATATAACAGAATGTGTTATAGGCTAAACCTATTTGTTAATGCCAGCTCAATTTTTGTCAAGGTCGTTGAGATGTAAATAAGGTTAGGGCACGTGATTGTTGGCGAAATTGTAGATTAGGTTTAAGAATTTGGGGGAGAGATCTAGGATGATGAAAAATTAGTTCGTGATATTTCCTAGCTTTATTAAAAATACATAAAATCCATTACATGTATATACTAAGGCGATTTCACTGTTTTTTTGTTGTTGGTGGCGCTGATGGTCTTCCTTGAATGGTGCTTCTGGTATTCTGGTATTTTTGTTTCTGAAAAAAAAGAATAAATTTATTTATTTATTAACGGTTAGGGATAGGACTTAATATATGGTTTGCTTTGGGTTAGAGTGGAGACTGGTCTTATTTAATCTAATTTACTGTGCACTAGGATGTCGTTCAGATTTTGATTTTTAGAATATGCAATTATAAGTTTCAGTGTGAAGATTTTCAGGTGATTTTCTTGGAGATCAGTATAGTGTTTTCTGATGATATTGAATGCTGTTGCGCTAAATGGAACTACAGGAGGGGCTATTGCGCTAAATGGAACTACAGGAGGGGCTATTGCGCTAGCCGTATGAATATTCAAACCTAGGGGGGGGGGGGGGGGCTATTGTTTTCAATTTGTAAATCCAGAATTTTAGCCTAAACGTTTAATTTTTTCTGTAGTTTCAAAGTCGCTCTTGGTCTTTTCTATTGGCGTGATAATGAGATCAGAAATGTCATGATTTGGTTGGTTGAAATGAATTGAGACCGGTTTGTCTTTTTTGGTGACTATGTCTGACCGGTGACCGTTAATTCTTTCCCTAAGTGCATTTTGAGTCTCCCCTACGTATTGCTTGTCACATTGTCTACATGAAATTAGATAAATTATGTTTGAACTACTGCACGAAAGTTGGTCTAATAATATTGGGAATTGTGTGCCAGATGGGTTTTTTTTATGAAAATGGTCATATATGTTTATAATTTTGCATGTTTGACATCTCGGATGGCCACAAGGTTTTGTTTTAACTGCTGATTGCATATTATTTGTTCCTTTGGCGGCAAGTTTAACTAGAGTGTTGTTTTTTATACGTCGGAGATAGCGTTTGGAGTATCACCTTTCTCTTAGGTTGCTAAATACCTGACTCAAAGTCGGAATTCTGAGTGCATATCCTATGAAAACGGAGAATCTGAGATTTTATGATGCTAGAGAAGGTATGTTTGGGGTGTAAGGAGCTCTTGAACAATAATTGATGTGTATTGGTTTCTTTAAAAAATACTTTAGTTTCCAGCTGGCCTGTGTTTTTGGTCTTGCTACTTTTAAAGACGGTGGTGTCAAGGAAATCTATGCTGTTATGACTTACGTTTGCGATTAATTTGACAGATGGATGATGATTGTTCAGAATGTTGAAAAACGTCCAAAATTCGTCTAGTGTGTACGTCCAGACTATGATGACGTCATCTAGAAAACGTCCATAGAAATCTGGTTTTAATGGGCAGAGCGACAGAACTTCCCTTTCCCACTCAGCCATGAAGAGATTTGCATAACTCGGGGCAAATCGTTTTCCCATCGCAGTTCCGGAAGACTGGAGGTATACTTGGTCGTTGAAAGCGAAATCATTCCTCCTCAGACAAATGTCGAGTAGTTTGAGGATTTTTTCGTCAGGCCTGGATGCTTGTGGGCTCCTAAGAAAAGCTTTCCCAACTGCTTCAATACCTGTGTTATTATCGATGTTCGTGTACATGCTCTGTACGTCGATGGATATTAAAATGGTGTGTTCAGGGACTCTTAACTGTTTGATTTTGTGAATAAAATCGTTAAGTGTCTTTTAGGTAGGATGGGCGTTGGCATGCTAGGGGTAATAAGAAATGGTCTTTTTATTGTGATACGTTATGATTCGCTGCCACAGTCTGATATTATTGGGCGTCCTTTGGGTAATTTATTAGGTATAAACCATTCCGTTTCTGGATTTTTATGTATTTTTGGTAGCGTATAGAGAGATGTTGTCGACAGTCAGATTTAGCGGATAGATAATATTGTTTTGCTGTTATGTATACCTTGTCCTGCAATACATGTAAGATGTTATTTATTAAGGTTGCAGTGTCCTTAAAGATGGGTTGGTCTAATTTAGTGTAATGTTTGGGATTATTTAATTGTTTTTCTGCCTCAGAGATATAATCTGCGCGATTCATTATAACTATGGATCTCCCACTCCCCGAGGAAGGATACAATCCTAGCCAGGTTAGAGGATCCAGTGGAGATCAATTGGTTGTAGCTGGTGATGTTTTGGTAGGCGATCGGATTTTCTTGTCGGAGACGGGAAGAAAAAGGGATCTGCGTGGCGAAGAGCTTGGTTGTTGGGAAAGCTGCTCTGGTCACCTTGAGTAGATTTAGCATATGCTCGTGTATCCTTGGTCCACTTTCCTCCCTGTTGTCGATCCCGACGTGTATCCCTAATTCCTCTGGTGCAGGACCATGTAGTTCTGGAGGATCTGTTTGATGTGGCTGATCTTGGCTCCAGAATAGCTATGGATCTCCCACTCCCCGAGGAAGGATACTATCCTAGCCAGGTTAGAGGATCCAATAACCAGGGTCTTTGCTATGATGGATGGTAGGTACCATAAATCCTTCTCGTCTTTACCTTTGTAGCTGTGAGGTCTTTTTAGGGATAGGTTGAGTGATCGCCTACATCTGGTGGAAGATCTGGTGATGATTCTAGGGTTAGGAATGATGGGCGATCTAGGGGACAGTCAACAAGCGCGTTCAGTGGCGATATAGATCCCGAGGAAGCAGGTGAGCCAGACACAGCCGGGGCGAACTGGTTGATCTAGCTGCACGCTTCGAGGGAGTGTTAATGCAAGTGCCTTCTCCAGGGGATAATTTTTTCTTGTTAGGTGTGTTTCGTTTTGGTGTGTCCCGGAGAAGGTTGTGTGTAATGTGCATTGGTGATAGGGGAGGGTGCGTGACAGTTTTAGAGACCGTGGACAGTAGGCGATGAAACTCTGTCTTCACACTATCCTGAAGTTGCTTGCCGTAGGACTTCTTGGCCAATGCTAGGGCGTGGCTAGAGTACTCTTGTACAGCATCTTTGGTAAAGTGACGTACTTCAAGTACTCCAGTTTCTCCGCTAGCATGGCTCGATAGTGTGTCGACAGGGATGAGGCGACGTCCTTGACCCATTCAAGTTCAATGTCTCAACGGTAGTGACTATGGTAGGAGTTTTCATGGTCGGCTTCACAAACTTATTCAGGTCTTGGATCTTCCATGTGAAACTTCTGGTTGGTGTTCCATTCTCCTGACTCTCCATAATGGTCAAGTGGTGGAGGCATTGGAGGACCTGAAAGAAGGCTTTCACGACACCTGCATTCTCTGGAGGTGGTTGGCGCTGGTTTGGTTGTCGTTTTGATTGGAGCTGGTTTAGTTCCATTGGTAGTTGAGTGGCCGTGGGAATGAGTGGGCGTCTGGTGCGGGGCCTATCCATGTTCTAGAAGTGGTGGGGTGAGAAAAAAATTGCTTGTGTGGACGTTGTGCAAATAGGACAAGATAAGAAAGCTGTAAAGACGAGATACAGTAGAGTTTGAAGAGAAGAGGGGCGGGGGATAATATATATATATATATATATATATATATATATATATATATATATGTGTGACTGGTAACGTGGCGGAATGCAACTAGAAATATAACAAGTATGAAACAAAGGGAAATCGTTTGAACTTTGAGGTTTATTAATTACACAGTATAGTATATTGTGTAATGCCAATTTTTCAATTTAAAACTATTAACAGATATAAAAAATAAAAATATAAAAAGAAAAAAAAAATCTTACATATAATATAGTTGGGCCGTTCCTCGATTATATCGCGATGCACATTTCGGAGCGGTATCCTTTATCAAGCGATGTTAGGTTTAAGAATTTGGGGTAGAGGTTGAGTATCCACATTAGCACTGACTTAGGATAATGAAAATTCAGTTCGTGATATTTACAATACATTGAATTTTAATTTTATATATACTGAGCGCCATGGAAAACGCATCACTTAGTTTTTCGTATAACAAAATGATCCTGTAAACATATCTTATTTATTTTGCTTCTTACTGTGAACAATATTCAAATGGGAACACATCAATAACAACACATTTGTACACTTATGGATGTTTAATCTGTAATCAACGGTACAAAGTCAGAGGGGTCAAAACCAAAAGTACGACACAGATGTCAGTAGCGCGTGTGTCCTCCACGGGGTCTTACGCACGCTGTGCAGCGACGTCGCATGGAATTAACCAATGTTTGAAAGAAGGCCTGGGGCAAATTGTT